ACTACATGCTCACACGCCTTTGCGCCGATGTCCGGCATGCGATCACAGTCGTGGCAGCAGGGAGTCGCCGATATCAGTCGAGTCTTGCTCCCCATGGCCATCTCACAGGCCGAGTCTTGCGAGGCGCACTGGCTACGCGGCCGTATGCCGCAGGAGCTCGTACTCATACCACCGCCAGCAGCCACGCCACAGTGGTGGTTCGCAGATTTTGAGTCTCTCGGCCCAGGTTGCATGGGACACGGCACGCAGCATTCACCTATCTGGGTACTCGGTGACTCCAGCGGTGGGCCTGAGGCACACTCACCTAGGCTCAGGCGAATCGGAGTTACCATTGTTCGGATGATGCATTTGTGGGATCCAGAAGCACACTCGTTTGTAGCAGGGGCCTTGCCAGGCCCGAGGCAGGTGGTTGCACGTGGCGAGCTCATGGGGCTCTTGCTGGCGGTCACACACACACACACGACTGGAGCTGTGGTGTACGCCACGGACTGCGCGTACTTCGTGGACGGATAGTATGTCAAGCGAGTCAGCCGAAGGGGCACGACGCGGACTTGCGGCACCAGATCGGCGTTTGGTCCAACTGCAAGCTGACCACGAAGGTTTCACAAACTATCATCTCACGGCAAAGGAGTTGGCCGAGGGAAAGGGCATTGTCGCCCTCAGCGCCAGCAATGCAGTGGCAGACCACCTGGCGGCGGCAGCAGCTCAACGAGCACGGGTGCCAAGAAGCCGACCGACATCGTGTACTACACCACGAGCATCTGATGTTCGAGGTGAGGATGCGCTTACCGCGAGCCACCCCGGACAGCATGACGGCCACAGAGACACCTCGAAGACACTTCCCGAGGCGCCTGGGGTCGCGCGGGGGAGGGGGGGGGGGAGGAGGGAAAGCACGCCGCGGCCCCACGGCAGCGCCCTTGCCTGCGGGCATCGCGCCTCGCGCGGCGACCAGCCCGAGGGCCACACTGTGCCGACGAGTCTCACACCCGAAACGGCAAGAAGTGCGGGGCCACTGGCGAGAAGCAAATGTGCCTCTTGGGCAAGCCGTGCACGGGAGTTTTAGATAAGAATCGGGAGGAGTACCTCGATCGGGTTGCGGCTCACAGGAAGCCGAAAGCCCTCAGCCAGACCGAGCAGAATGTAAGGTGATCGAGTGTGGTTTAGTCCGAGGTGGTTTCGTCACCAACTGCTTGCTTGCGCAACGGGCTCCACTCCACTCCACTCCTCCTCCTCCTCCTCCTCCTTGCTTTGGCTGTTCCTTGAACAACACCTAGAAGCATCCAGGGCACTGGCAGCATAACTCACTTCCAATTCAACTTCGCATGCGGTGCACTCGGGCGCCCTACTGCATTCGTCGAACATGGCGTACGCTCCACTAAAGAAACTTCCTCCTCCCTCCCGCCCCATCCCCCTCGCTCCTCCCTCTCGCCCCCTCTCTTCTCCTCCTCCTTCTCCTCCTTGTCCTCCTCCTTGTCCTCCTCCTCCTCCTCCTCCGCCTCCTCGCCTCCTCCTGCACCTCCTCCTCCTCCTCCTCCTCCTCCTCCTCCGTCCTCCTCCTCCTCCTCCTCCTCCTCCCTCGGCGTCCTCCTCCTCCTCCTCCTCCTCCTCCTCCTCCTCCTCTCTTCCTTTTGCAGTGCGGCGAAAGGGGGTTCTCTGCCGCAGCCGCGCCTCCTCCTCCTCCTCCTCCTCCTCCTCCTCCTCCTCCTCCTGCTCCTCCTCCTCCTCGCTCCTCCTCCTCCTCCTCCTCCCTCGGCTTCCTCCTCCTCCTCCTCCTCATCCTCCTCCTCCTCCTCCTCCTCCTCCTCCTCCTGGTTCGCGGCAACTCCTTGCTGAGGCCCGCGAAGGCCCACTCCCAGCACCGGTGGGCGAACTCCCCGGTCTGCTCCTGGCCGGGCCAACGCTTCGGCGGGGCGGCCCTGACCTCCGACGTCGCGACGTTGCTCGCAACGTGGACCCCCAGAGATGTCGACCGCTTCCCTGGTTTTGTTTGTCATCCTGGCTCGTTGATCGACGGTCTCGGGGCCAGTAAGGGCCTCCAGAAACAGCAATTGGCAAAAAGCGTTCGTCGTGCTTTTCCCACCACGCGAGGAGGCATGCGATCGTCTCCATGTCCTCCTCCTTTCACAAAAGTGCTCCTTGTTCAGCCCTACCTCGGCCGGGCAGTTGGCATCAGACAACACCATGGAATACATCTGGTGGAACATCACCTTCCCAGCTTCGGGCATCGGGTGGTCGAACGCCTCAAAGAACTCCTTCAGGAACGCCATGGCTTCCCCTGGGAGCGTGACCCGTCAATACTCGGCGGCCCACAGAAGGGGGCCAGAGAGATGAGCGGCCGGGCTTCTGAGAATGCAGGGGAGGGGGGGTCCTCGGTGGGGAGCACCTCTCTTGAGAGCATTCTGCTGCTCCGCGTCTTCTAGAAAGGGGATGCTCTCCGGAGGAGAGGGGAGAGGGAGGAGCAAGAGAGTGGCGAGGAAGGAGAGGGAGGAGCAAGAGAGTGGCGAGGAAGGGGAGGGAGGAGCAAGAGAGTGGCAAGGAGGAGAGGAGAGGGGAGAGGGGAGAGGGAGGAGCAAGAGAGTGGCGAGGAGGGAGAGGGAGGATAGAGAGACCTTGGGCGGAAAACATCTCCGTACCCACGGCCACGCGGGCCGGGCCCTGGGCCGCGACCCCGCGCGTGCGCGGTGCTTGTTCGCGGATGCCCCGCGCGAGACGCATCTGTGCGACCGCGTGTCCGCGGGATCGCGCCCCGGAATCCAGACCGCGAGGGCGTTGATACGAATACGCTCGCCGCTCGCGAGAACAGGGAGGGGATGTGAGGGGGGCGGGGGGCGGGGGGAAAAGGGTTGCCATTCCTGTGCAGTCGTCAGGGTTGCCTGTCACGGCATGAAGATCGCACGCACTCTGAGGAGGCCCTCCGCAGCAGGCTGAACCTCATAGGTCCTTACTTCGTCTCAGGAAGGGGGGGGGGGGGGGGCGAGGACCCCACTTCTGGGCATCGTTTAACCGACCCCTCTCCCCATGGGCGGGGCCTGGGTCCCACTGGCCGATTTACCCGCCTAGACGGGGATACAGGCTGCTCCCTTCGGGTTTGGAAGGGTATATCCCCAACTTCGGCGGCGAGCCCAGGGAGGAAGCGAGAAAGGGCGCGCCTTCTCAGATGGCTCGGAAGTCCCCCGGCCTTCTGAGAAGTTTCCTAAGCCTTCCCCGCAGGAACAGTCGACTCCTCGGAAGGCGTCAGGGCTTCTGAGAAGCCCCGCCGCCTCCTGAGAAGTCCTCCTCCTTCTCATTTCCGCCCCTCCCTCGCCGACCACTGGGGTGGCAAAATGGTGGGGGTCTGGATGGGGATGGGTCGGGTCGGGCGAAAGGGGGGGATAGCAAAGAGGGGGTTTGAGAATCAGCTCGCGTAGCCGATTTTCCTGGCGCCTCCCGGCGCCGGGAGGCGCCCGTGTATCGAGGAAAGGGCCCAGCGGCGGGGCCGAAACCAGCTGCATGCAGCAAATTTCGTACCCCCCCCCTTTCCCAATCCCCCCCCTTCGTCGGGCCCGAATGGGGATGGGGATGGGGGTCGGCTCAACGATACCGGCTTCCCTCCGACGACGAGGCCAGGCGGCCGAGGAGGGGGAGGAGGAGGAGGAGGGGGTGGAGGGGAGGAGGAGGAGGAGGAGGAGGAGGCGGAGGAGGACAAGGAGGAGGAGGAGGAGGAGGGGAGGAGGAGGAGGGAGGAGGAGGAGGAGAGGAGGAGGAGGAGGAGGAGGGTACGAGGGTACGAGGCGTGGCGCGCGCGTCCGAGGCCCGAACCCGCGGAGGAGGAGGAGAGGAGGAGGAGGAGAGGAGAGGAGGAGGGGGAGGAGGAGGGGGAGGAGGAGATGAGGAGCAGGAGGAGGGGGAGGAGGCAGGAGAGGGGGAGGTGGGAGAGGAGGAGGAGGAGGAGGAGGAGAGGAGGAGAGGAGGAGGAGAAGGAGGAGGACGCGGGCGAGGCGGCCCGCGGCCCCTCGGGGCAGGGCGTGGCCAGAGCCTGCGAGGGGGCCCCCACGGAGGCTGCCGCGACCGCCGAGGGCCGGGAGCTCGTGCTGCCCCACCGCGGGGCCGGGCCGTAGGCGCCGGGGCCGTGCCTCGGCTTAAGTCGGGCCTGTCCCCCTACAGGGGGATTGTCGACGAAAAATTTAAAAAATACCCCCAAAATATCAAACACAAATAATCAAACAATATCAATGGGGACTATTTTTTGAGCATTGTTTTGACCTTTTTGGGGGCATGTTTGGGGTATTTGTTGTTTTTCGTCGAAAGTCCCCCTGTGGGGGTACACGCCCGACATAAGCCTCGGCCGAGCTCGCCCAGCCGCCGCCCAGGCAAGCAGTCCGTCCTCATCGTCCTCACCGTCGCCCTCTTCTGTCATGCCTCCTCCTCCTCCTCCTCCTCCTCCTCCTCCTCCTCCTCCTCCTCCTCCTCCTCCTCCTCCTCTTCCTCCTCCTCCTCCCCTCCTCCTCCTCCTCCTCCTCCTCCTCCTCCTCCCTCCCCGTCCCCAGCTCCTCCTCCTCCTCCTCCGCCTCCTCCCTCCTCCTCCTCCTCCTCCTCCTCCTCCTCCTCCTCCTCCTCCTCCTCCTCCTCCCTGCACCTACTCCACCTCTGTGTCCACGCGACCGCCCAGACACCTGTCTTCCACGTGATCCGGCCGTCGCCGTCGGGGTCGTGCTTCGGCCACAGGTCGTCCACCGCCGCCCGGATCACTCCAGGGACCTCGGGGAGGTCCGACTTGTCCGAGTCTGGCGTCCTCGCAGGGCCCCTCGCAATCCAGCGTCAGGAGAAATCTCGACAGAAGATGACAGCGTAGCTTTGGGCCCGATAACCCTCACGTACAAACCCTCCGACGTTACGCTTGCTCACAACGTGGGCCCCTGCAGGTATCGCCCCTTTCCTTGGCGCCATTCGCGTTCTTGTTTTCTGGCGACGCGAGTGGGCCTCTGCTTGCGTACCCACCAAAAAACTCCCCGCCCAACCCGAAGTCTCCGGTTGGGCCCTCGCAGTTTCCAGCGGCGGGGGCACTCTGGAACATAGAGAACACAGCATGGAACCCGCACGCCCCCCAACCCGGACCTCGGGAGACTCTAGGGGCCTTCTGGTCGGGCGGGGGTGGCTTGGTGAGCACGGCGGCGGCGTTCGCCAGGGACTGTGCCCACTATAGGCCTCAGACCCTGGAGGCTGCCCTGTCCCATGCTGGCGGCGACGGCATCCATGGCCAAGCCTCAGCTATTCCCCACCGGCTTCCAGACCCAGGGCCACGACCCTCCCCTCGGAGCCCTCCCCGGCACCCCCCCTGGGACCGCTCCAGGCACCCCCCCAGAGGAGAAGAAAGAGGCCCGGAAGAATCAAGGAGGGAGGAGGCCACGGAGCCGCGAAGATGTCACCGAATCCGGAGCCCCCCGGATCGGCGGCACTGGCCAGAGGCCATCACAGCACTCCCCACCAGCTTCCCAGACCCCCTCGAGCAATGAAAAAATCATGACTGGAGGTTTTTCCTAATTTTCGGCCTTCGGGGGCCCTCACCGGGCCTCGAGAGCGTCAAAAAACGACTCAGGATGCAAAGCCGGTCATGGGGACAGGGTCGGGACCTGTGGGGGTCGACGTAATGAAAAAATCATTACGTCGGGGGTCTGGGTTCCGGACCCAGGGTTCCGTACGGAGCGGCTCCTTGCCCAACGCCCTCGCAGTCGTGAGTCTGGGGATGCTGCTGAAAGATCGCGTCGAGGCCTCCGGCCGCAACGTGCCGCGGCACTGTGACCTCTCCCCGACGGAGGGAGGCCTCGGGGGGGGGGGGCAGCAGCGTGGACTCGGCCGCCGGGCGGCCAGGAGCCCAGGATCCAGAGGAATGCCCGCGTGCAGCGAGAACACATGTTTCTTTCTCCCGGGAATTTCCGCCCTCCTCCTCCTCCTTCTCCTTCTCCTGCTTCGTCTCCTCCTCCTCCTCCTCCTCCTCCTCCTCCTTCTCCTGCTCCTCCTTCTCCTGCTCCTCCTTCTCCTTCTCCTGCTTCGTCTCCTCCTCCTCCTCCTTCTTCTCCTGCTCCTTCTCCTCCTCCTCCTTCTCCTGCTTCGTTTCCTCGTCCTCCTCGGGAACAGAGAGACTCAGACAGCAGTCCACCATGTGACAAGCACTGGGCAGCAAAGAACTCAGTGAAGTGGAGAGGCGAAGAAAACGATTAATGATAAGAAGGAAAAGAAGAACAGCGGGGGGGAAAGAAAGAGAGAGAGAGAGGGAGAGTCAGGACACTGAGGGGAAGGAGGCAGGGAAAGGAGTGAGGAGACGAAAAAGGACGAGGAGGAGGAGGAGGAAGGCCATGTGCGGGACCCATCCCGCGCTCGCCCAAGGCGCTTGAGGCCGCGGGCGCGGTAGCGAGGCACTCGAAGACGTGGGGGCCCAGCCGCCTGAGGCAACGGAAGATCATGCCGATCGTCGGCGGCGAGCGAGGGGGGAAGTGAGAGAGGGCGCGCCTTCTCAGATGGCTCGGAAGTCCCCCGGCCTCCTGAGAAGTTTCCTACGCCTTCCCCGCAGGCACACACACAACTTCTCAGGAGGCGCCAGGGTTTCTGAGAAGCCCCGCCGCCTTCTGAGAAGCCCTTTTCCTTCTCGCTTCCCCCCCTCGCTCGCCGCCGAACCATGCCGGTCGGTACATCAGCGGCCAGGCGGATGGCGAGACGCAGACGCCAACTGGCATGCGAGGCCGCGGTGCGCAGTCTTGCGGTGGCGGACGGCGCCGACGCGAGGCCCTGCGCTCACAGGCACGCCGCGGCCGAAGGGGCAGGCAGGACACGGCGTACGACGCACCGGCGAGCACGACAAGCACGACCAATACGACGAGCACGGCGCGAAGTGCGGCAAGTACGATACCAAACGCGACAAACAAAAAGCAAGCAGCCCGCGGTGTTTACCGAGTGTGTCGTTGTACAGAAACCGCTGGTCCACGCCCACGCAGCCCACGACGAGTACAACTACAGCGCCTACAGCAACCACGACGAGCACAGCGGCTACCTCGGCTAGGGCGCCTACGGCTTCCTCGCCCCGGCACCGGGGCCACTGGCTGAATTGCAAGAGACACAGGCTGGGCTTCGAGTACCACAGGCAGAACTTCACCACAAGCTAAGCCACGAGGCCAACAAGAAGGGCTACTAGAACCTCGAGATGAGCTACGAGAACCACCGGGTGATCCACGAGGGCCACAAACGAACGAACGAACGAACGCCGGAGTCGTGCGTGCTCCTCTGGGGAGCTCGCCCGTGCCCATTGAGGCATGGCGTGAGGCCGTGGCCTCGACAGGAAGATCTTCTATTCAAACTTGTGAAGCGCATGTCCGCTCATATGATTACCACCGCTGTGTACATAGCAGCCCGGATCCATCGCAGGTCGTTCGTGTTGTTGTGCTCGTGATGTCTAGGTTGTGTGGCTGCCCTGGTTTGTCCCTCTCCTGCGTCGCTGTCCACACTGCGCAGGAAATTCCGGATATCGTCGTCCCACCGCTTTGGCTGTCCCCCGTGTCGCCGTCGTCCACGTTGGCGTACAGTACGATGCGGGTTCCATTCAAGCGCTCTCTGGGCCAATCGTGTCGTGGGGTGGTGAGCCACGGTATTCGCCCATCGCCACACCATTCTACGATGAATTTGCAATACGTCTGGTATGTTGTGCATGAGTATGAGTGACTTCTCCCTCCTCGTGCTTCTGCGGATTAGGTCAGACCATAAATCCAGGTCGCCATTCTGCGTACTGTCGGGCTGCGTGTCCTCCTCGTCGCTGCCAGCGTCTTGCAAATTGGTTTGGTCGGTGGGTGGGTCGCTGCGTACGTCGGAGTCGGTGGAATCACTGGAGTGGTCTGAGTCGCGTGGACCAGCAGCTCCTACGTCGTAGTGGTGGTCGTTGTTCTGGTTTGCTGCTGTCGCGGTGCGGTGGTGGTGCGGCTGTAGTGCGTGTCCCGATGATTACTCTGACCATGCGTCGCTGCGTTGGGCCTGGCTGCTGCTTGAGAGGTTCTGTCAGGGTCCAGGCTTCCGCGCCGTACGTCATTGTAGGGATGACTCTGCCCGTGTATGAATCGTAGTCGATGGCGCAATGTGTAATTGTTGCTGGTGAGTTCTTGTCTATGGCCACTAAAACGAGCCCACGCAGCTTGAGTCCGGTGCTTTACTTCGGTCGCGGGGGCGCCCTGGAAGGTGGTCGTCTGGCCCAGGTACGTGATGGTGCTGGTACGCGGTACGATTTCGATGTCCATCCCTGCTGCTGTAGTCGCCTGGTCGCGGTGCCGAGTTTGGTCGGTCATGATTTTGGTGTTGGTCGGGCATAGCTCCAGTCCATGTGGCTTGGCAGAGGTGATCACATCGGAAAGCATTCCTTTCAAATTGCGTCGTGTTTGTCTGATCAGTAAGATGTCGTCTTCGAACCGGAGGTTCGTGAGTGTCGACTCGTCGGTGATGCGCAGTTGAGCACCCCAGCGTTTTCCCTGCCAGTCTGGGATTAGCGGCGCCAAGATGTGCTGGAGTAACGCGTTGAATAATAATGAATTCAACGGATATCCTTGCTTTGTGCCGCGACGGAGATTGAATGGTTAACTCGTGGTGTTGGTGCGTACCACGCCCGTCTGGTCACAATACAGGCGTTGGAGAAGGTCTATGCACCCCAGTGAAACGCCCTGGTCGTGTAGAGCTGCCCACAAGATGTCGTGCTCAACTGTGTCGAAAGCTTGTTCAAAATCTATAGCTGCTATCCATAAGTGTGGGTTCCATTCAGCTGCCTTCTCTCGTACGACGTTGAAGCTAAAGAGGTGGCCTCGCGTGCCCCGGCCAGGTCGAAGACCAGCTTGTTCGTCAGGTTGTTGTCAGTCCAGAGCTGGTTGTAGTCTGTTGCACAGAAGTCTGCGGAAGAACTTGTACAGCATTGGCATTGTGCAGATCGGTCGGCAGTTCTGGGGGAGTGCGAGGTCTCCTGACTTAGGAATTACTGTGACGACGGTTTTTCTCCAGCTGGCCGTCGCGGGGGCGTCTACCTTGACGACTGCGGCGTACAACTGCAATAGAGCGCGCTGGAGCTACGGGTCTGACTGTTGGAGCATTCCAGCCCGAATGCCGTTGGTGCCGGGTGCTTTGCCACCTTTGAAGTGTATGATTGCTGCCCTGAGCTCGGCTCCCGTGAAGGGTGGAATGCGTTGCGGCTTGCGCGTCGCGTCCGCTGGTCGTTCGCCCGCGAAGGATGAGGCCTGCAAGTCAGCGTAAGAAATCCGCGAATGCGTCCGCGATCCCCCGTCGTCGTCCGCCTGACGCCGTCGGCCCCCTCGACGTCAGGAATGGGCGTCTCCTTCCTTCTGGCTGTGACGGGGCGGACATGCTTGGGGTCCTCGTGCTATTCGAGAACGGACTTCCTTCGTTCCCTTCGGCTTGCCCACCTTTGCTTTGACGGTGCGGATATGCTTGGGGTCCTTGTGCTGTTCGAAAATGGTCTTCCTTCGTTCCCTCCGGCTTGCCCACTTTTGCCGTCGAATGCTCTGCTGGATCTTCTTGCTGATCGATCGTAGGGCAGCGGCGCCCGAGGCGGGCGTGCCCTGGCGCTGTCTGACAAGGCCCGCAAGGCTATCATCCTGAAGTTGCTGCGTGGAACCGTTTGCAATCGTTTTGTCCGTTTGTGGGGTCGTCTCCGCGGTGCTCTTGCCGTGAGCTGCAGAGGTGCACGTGCTCGTCTCGATTATGCTGATCAGCTCCTGCGGGTCTGTCGGCAACTCTCCAGTTTGCAGTTGGAGGCCCAACCAACGCTGGTATCTGTCAAAATCTACGTCTGCCCAGTGCAGGATGCGGGAAGCGCCGTTCGACGAAGTACTTCTCGAAGAGCGCCTGGTGTGGGATAGTGATCGGCTGGGGAAGCGAATGCGAAGCACAACGGTTTTGTGATCCGAGTTGAGACCAACGATGTTCGAGGCCTCGGCGTCGACACACGGGGGGGATAGGCTTCTATCCACTAGTGCGAAATCGTATTGTCTCGGGTTTCCTGCGGTCGTTGTGTAAGTAATCTGCTTGTCTGGCGGTTTGCGGAAGAACGCGTTCGTAATCGCTAACCTCTCGCTCGTGGCCCAGCGTCGCAACCATTGACCTCTGGAGTTCTCGTCGCCATATCCATGGGGGCCTACAAATCGAGATAAGACGTCGTCGTCCATCGTTGGTTCGCCCGGGAGTGCTCGATCCGACCGTGGTTGTGCACCAACCTGAGCGTTGAAGTCTGCAACAAGAATGGTCCGTGCGTTGCGTGCACGGGACTCCTTTATCATGGCGCCAATTCCGTCGTACATGTTTTGCACGTGTGCGTCGGTGCACCCGTTGCATCGAAAGTACGCAGACAGCCGTATTCGAATACGCCCCTTCTTGATGATCATTGCGGTAAGCCTCTCTTTGACGGCTTGGAACTCTGATGTGTGGGACCTCCAGCGTTTGCGCACAAGGATTGCGACACCTTGGCAACCTGTCGTTTCCAGTGCCCGCGAAAGCATGCCCTTCGGCCGTGCTCCACAATTCTTTTTGCTCGGTCCTCCAAGTCTCGTTGATGAAGATGGCGTCCCAGTGCTGATTTTATGGGTCATGCGGTCGTCATCCAGCGACCTCGCATTCTTGTGGATGATGGTGAGTGCGGTGCCGCTCCTGTTCTCGACGGTGGCTGCCGGCGTCGTCGGGGAGGGTTGGCTGGGGAAGGTCGGGGGGAATGGTTGAGCAAGACAAGTTGGACCGTCATCGCCGATGTCGTCGCACTCGGTTCGTCCATTGCGAGGCGGCCGAAATCTTGGAGGCCTGGAAATTGGCACCAACACCAACACAGGGGGTTGCCTCCACAGGGGGAAGATGATCCTAGATTTCGGTGTTGGTGGTAATATTTCGGCCACCTTGGAAGCCAGAATATTACCACCATCACCGAGACCAGGATCTTCTTCCCTCTGTGGAGGCACGCCGCCGAAATTGGCGTTGGTGTCAACCTCGAGGCCTGCGAAAATCGTAAAAATGCGACGGGAAATCGCTGTCTGCAGCGCGGAATACTCCGTGTCCTCCTCCTCCCGTGCGCGGCGGTGGTCCGGAGCTGGCTTGAGCTGTCGGTCGGCGATGGTCGATCCTGGTAGCGCTGCTCGTCGGCAGTGGTACTGTCGGCGGTGTCTGGTCGGTGGTGCAATTCGCTTATCGGTGCTGCTGGGCCGCGAGATCAATGACGGCAGACTCGTCGCATGGTGTCTCGCGTGGACCGCTGGTCCGTGAGCTCTGGGAAGTGATCGGTCGGAGGGAGGGGTTGGGTATAAGGCAAATGGGAAAGTCGTCGTCTGCGTCGTCCGCCAAAATTGCGGCGCGATGGTCGAGATCGCAATGATGCATCTGGGAAGTCGTTTTCTACATGCCTGTACTCTCCTCTTCCTCCTCCCCCGGTGGATGGTGGTGGAGGTGGTGTGTGGAGGTCGGTGATTGGGTTGGTTGCCGCTGCTAGCCGGTGGTCGTCGATCTGCTTGTCGGTGGATGTCGCTGTTGGTGGTCCGTGGAGGTCGCTGATGTTCGGTGTTGGTCACTCTGGTGGTCGAGGCCGAGGGGGTCGGTGGATGGGTTAGTCGGTTCTGGTCGGCGCTGGTGGTCTGTGAAGGTCGATGCTGGTCGGTGTTGGTCGGTGTTGGTCGGTCTGGTGGTCGAGGTTGGCGGTCGCTGGTTGGGCTAGTCGGCTGGTCGCTGGTGGGCGCTCGAGGTCTGCAGAGGTCGCTGTTTGAGGTCTGTATTGGTCGTTGCTGGTTGATGTTTCTGGTTGGTAGTGGTGGTGGTCTGGTGGTCGGTGTGGGTGGTTTTGGTCATGGTGATGGTCAGTGGTGGCGTCGGCGTTGGTCGGTACTGGTCGGTGCTGTTGTTCTGCGGTGGTATGTGGACGTCGGCTGTTGGTCTGGTTGGCGCTGCTGGTCGGTTGTGGTCAGACGGTGGTCGCTGCTGGTCGGTGCTGGTTGGTGCTGGTGGTCGATTGTGGTCAGGGGGCTGGTGCTGTCGGTCGGTTGCGATGCAGTGTTTTTAGTCGGTGGTAGCGCTATTGATGCAGGTCGCTGCTGGTCAGTGCTGGCGTACTGGTCGGTGCTAGGATCGCGGAGCCGTGGATAACCAAGCCGTGGGAGCGGTCGTTCGCGTACATGGCCAAGCTGTGGTCGGAGAGGTGCACCTGAATACAAATACGAAGTTCCAGATTCTTGTGCTGGGGATCCGAATGTGTCCAGAGAGGCAGTCTATAAATCACGATAAGGTGGATCCTAAAGGCGGATCCTGACGGTGGATCCTGAAGGCGGGCGTGAAGATGGATCCTGAAGGCGGGCGTGAAAGACTCTACCCAAGAAATCGCCATCAACCGTTCTGTACATACCCCTCCCGCCACCACAGAAATCAGAAGCACCTCCCCCTGATGATTGTTCTGGAGTCGGTATTCGGGTGGTTGGGTAGGTAGGTGGCCTTTGGGCCCAAGTCCCATTCGAATTACAAGCGACCGTCTTCGGAAGAGCATGTGTCGGAAAACTGTTTGGTGAAACCTCCATAGGTGAAAAACTCGCTGGCGAGACCAAAGTTGGAAAGATAATGCCCGCCGGATGCCCCGAAAGACTACCAAATGTTAGTTCGCTATTCCGTAAATGGTCCCCTCCCTGTGTCGATGTTGCTGTACATCCCCTGGAACTATTACTGTTGGCGCCTCTGGGTCGTAGATGTGGTCAAGACTTCGGGACCCTGGCCACGACCTTTCCACTAACTGTCTATGTGCTCCTCCACGTCCTTCTGAACCTCGACGCCCTCGTGGTACATCTGCATGCTGCCGTTGGGCGCAACTTCTGCAGCCAGCTTCCCTATCTTGACGTGCCCCCGATTCTAAGACATCTGGACACGATGCTGGTCGTACCCTTTTCCCAATAGTTTGTGCTGTATCTGTCCCAGCGTCTTGTCGACAACCCGTTTGTCCAGTGTGGTATTGTCACCACATCATGTCGTTGGCATTTCACTTGTAGTTGCTCGTCCGCATGTTTGTGGGGATCCTCATCGGATACCAGACGCCAGCTCGCGCGAACGCATGCAGAAAAAATTGAACTTCGAGGACAGGCAACTCCCATGAGTTGCTGCCGAAGTAGCAGGCGGAGCAGGGAGGAGGAGGAGGAGGAGGAGGAGGAGGAGGAGGAAGAGAAACAAGCAAGAGAAAAGGCATTCGCGCACGCCTCAAACAGGAGACGGACATGGAGGGAAAGGCAGTGGCGACGCATGCTCTTCGAGTAGGGGGTCGACGACAGAACTGGTGCGCCCCACAGTTCAGGTGTTCGTCAAGCCTACGACAAAAAAAAACGTGCATGCGTCGTCAGTCTACGGACCTTCTCTAGATCGTTTGAAGATTCGGCGACAGAGGCTGTTTCGGGGCATATCAATTGTGTGGTCGATCTTCTGCTCGCTCGGCGGCGGCCTCCACCTCGCTCGGCGTCGTGGCTTCCTCGCCCTCCTCCTCCTCCTCCTCCTCGTCCTCCTCCTCCTCCTTCTCCTCCTGATACTCCTCGTCCTCCTCCTCCTCCTCCTCCTCCTCCTCCTCCTCCTCCTCCTCCCCCTCGTCCTCCTCCTCCTGCTCCTCCTCCTCCGCCTTCTCCTCCTTCTCCTCCTCCTCCTCCTCCTCCTCGACCTCCTCCTCCTCGACCTCTCGAGCTCTGAGCCGCGCCCAGAGGTCCTCGTGCGGTAGATCTTTCTCCCGTGGCCAACCGCCTGCTCCTGGCGGGGGCCGGCCAGGACCACGGCAGCGGCGGCCAGACTCGCCCCCACGCCCCCCTCTGAGACACCTGCTCTTCCTCCTCCTCCTCCTCGTCCTCCTACTCCTCTTGGCTCCTCCTCCTTCTCCTCCTTCTCCTCCTCCTCATCCTTCTCCGCCTCCCTCCTCGAGCTCCTGCTCCTGTTCGCTCTCTTCCTCCTCTTCCTCCTCCTCCTTCTCCTCCTCCTCATTCTCCTCCTTCTGCTGCTGTTCCTCCTGCTGTTCATCCTCCTGCTGCACTTCCTCTTCAGAATCTTCCTTCTTATCTTCCTCCCTTTCCTCCTGTCCTTCCTCCTCCTCCTCCTCCTCTTCCTTATCCTCTCTTCCTCCTGCTCATCCTCCTCCTCCTCATCTTCCCTTTTCCCCCTTCCTCGGCTTCTCCTGATTATTCTCCGAGTGAGGTTCAGGGGGGTGCGAAGTCTTGACCACGACGATCGAGGATCCAAGATTTGGAATGTTAGAGGACGTGCTGCTCCCTGTTTGCTGCTCTCCAGTGGCCTCCAAATGCTTATGGGCACCTCATGGGACCTCGATATCCGAGATTGTCCGGGGACGCGCTAACACTTGCGATGCGAAGAGGGGGGTGAGGATCACCTCCCTCCCCATCCTTTCCACAATAGCTCCGTATGGGTACTACTCTCGTCTCACCCCCGACTGCGTGCTGAAGGAGTCCCGCCCTCTCCGCGTACAAACAGTATGTCTGCGCTTGATTACTGTATATGATTGGCTGGCAATCGGAAGGCTTCGGTGTTTCAAGATGGTTTTCCTGCTGCAGCGTGCGACTCGTTTCAGAATTGGCGCTTTGCTCCCGTCGTTCAGAATTGCTCTCTCGCCTCAGCGCGTGCCACTTTTCTGGATCTGGGTCATTCCTCCTCTTTGTCTCCCCGCTCCTTTCCCCTCCTGCGCCGTCTCCTGGTCCTCCTGCTCCTCCAGATCCTCCCACTACTGCCCCTGCAACTGCTGTTCCTTCTAGTTCTCATCCTTCCTCATCCTCCTCCTCTTCCCCCTGTTCATCCTCCAATTCATCCGCCACCTCCTTCACCTCCTCCCATGTACACAACTCCCCCCTTTATAGTTGCGCAAACCACGATGGTTTCCTTGGGGGGGGGCTCCAGGTCCGCTGCAACACCCGTGGGCTGACAGAGAAACATCTTCGCCAAGTGAAGAGCTAAGTGGAAGGGGTAAGATGTCAGACGTGGCGCGAGCGCACCTGGCCCGCATCTCTCTGCCTCTCCTTTCTCCTTTCTCCTGTCTCCTGTCTCGTCTCTTCTCCACAATGACACATTATGAGTGCTACAATCCTCTCTCCCCAGACTCTGCCCAGAACATGTCCCGCCCTCTCCGCGGAATGCTGCCTACACACAGGATGCGGCAAAGGTCAATGCTCTCAACATCGTGAGTGGGGCTCCTGTTGTTAAGAACGCTCTCTCCTTCTCCCTCCTCCTGTCCCCTTCTCAGATGCCCTACAATAACTACTACTACCACTACCACTACGATCACCATCACTACAGTTACCCCACCACCAATGCTACCATGTTATTTACAACGCTTCGTGCTCCGCACACCCCTCCAGGGAGGCCCCGCCAGAGCGCGCAGGCCATTCGGACAACATACTACCTACAAAGTGGCGCATCCCCCACACTACTCCAAGGAGGCCCCGCCAGAGCGCGCACTGCAGTTGGATGCAAACCGTTCGCACCCTCACACCCCTCCTAGGAGGCCCGCCAGAGCGCGCAGGGCATTCGAATACTATGCTCGTGTACAATGTGTCGTGCCAATGGTACTCCTTTCCAAGGAGGCCCCGCCAGAGCGTCCTGGCTATTCGGATATCAAAATATGTACGACATGCCGTGCCCCACCTTCACCCCTCCAGGGAGGTCACGACAGAGCGCGCAGGGCATTCGGATATCATACTATGTACAACGTGTCGTGCCCCCCAAACTCTTAAAGGGAGGCCCCACCAGAGCGCGCAAGGCATCCGGAAACCATACCATTGACAACGTTTCGTGCTCGTCACACCCCTCCAAGGAGGACCCGCCAAAGCTCGCAATGGATTCTGATACGCTATTGTGTATCATGTGTCGTGTTCCTTCAACACCCTTCCAAAGAAGCCCCGCCAGAGCGCGCAGGGAACTCGGATACGCTAGTGCGTATCACTTGTCGTGCTCCTTCAACACCCCATCCGAGGAGGCCCCGTTGCAGCGCGCAGGTTATTCGGACACTATACTATTGACAACGTTTCGTGCTCCTTCAACACCCCTCCCAGGAGGCCCTGTCAGAACGCGTAGTGTATTCGGAAACCACATGATTTACAACATTCCGTGCCCCTCACACCAGACCACGGCGGTTCCGTCAGAGCGCGCAGGGTATCCGGATACCATGTAAGTTACAACGTTTCGTGCGCTCCACCCCTCCAAGGAGGCCCCGCCAGAGCGCAGGGCACTCGGACACCATACTACT